ATACAATATAGGCATACAATTAATAATGTTGTGGCTCTGGCCATGTTTTTTAAGTATATTCTTTAAAATAAGGTTCTAGCTAAAGAGACAACAACCCCAACACATAGACAGACCACATAGACAGACCACACAAACAGATACACACATATCTCCCCAACAAACACACCACACACCGACAGGCACACACATCACAACTCTATTGACACTGAAATATTCTCCCTCCAAAATTTATATAAACATGGCAATCAGAACCACAACAAAATTAATGCCTTTTCATAATTTTAGTCTTGACAATTTCCTTGGTTGAATGAAAGAAGTTGTACGGCAAGTATGATGTAAGACAAGACAAGAGACTGTATGATGCGGTGTATACACACTCAGGGGGTTAATATGGCAAGCTTGTAAATACTCCAGCTGGCTACCTACGGAATCAATGCTGCGCAACTAATTGCGGGGAACCTGAATAAAAGATACAGTCATATGACCAAGATGACAGATGTGATTGGTTGATGATCTCATCTATGACTTCTTGTTGACAAATAAAGCAAAAAGTTTTCTTCACAACATGTTTTGAATATTTTGACCAATATTCTTATCAGGAAGGAAATGTTGTAATTGTAGAAAGTTGCAGTGACATTTATGACATTTATATACCTCATAATTCAAATGCATTGAAACCTCCTCACAATGAATAATAATATTTAAATTAAGGCACATTTACATGTGCAAAATGTCGGCAATATTAAATGGGAAATCTACATTAGGTCATAGGTTAAACCACACAGAGAAGAGTACAATGATTGTCACATGACAGTCACATGACAGTCACATGATTGTCATGTGATAGTCATGTGATGAACTATTTACTGAACGAAGAAAAGATTCATTCTTTGCAGATAGTCATGAACAACAATGGGTGCATGCAGTCTTTCCAGAGTCTGCAAACACGAGTGTACAAGGGCCTTCCATTCACAATATTTAGGTCCACAGAAGACTGCAACACTGCAATAATCATGCAATGAAGCGGACATGCCTCAACACTTATACTGTTGTTATACTGTGTACCTTTGTCTTATCTAAACATGTACGTCAACGTTTATTAAATCAGTATTGCACTGAAACAAAGTAAAACATTCCATGTTATTGATACTCACAAAATATAGAATATGTCATAAATGGTCCATACTAAATTCAAATATATATATAAGCAAACCTTTCAGGCTCTGAGAACTGTCCTGGGCAAGGATTATACTCAGTTTAATACTTATTTCTTTCTAAGTGTAGTCAGGAGGAGAAACTGCAACTAGGGACCCGTCACACAAAGCGATCATAGCGCCAAGACAAGCGTAAGTCCCATACCCATACACCGATTAATGATAGTTGTAGCGCTAAGATGATTGTAACTCCCATACTTTAACACTGGCTTATGATAGTCGTAGCACAAAGACAATCGTAACTCCCATACTTTAACACTGGCTTATGATAGTCATAGCACAAAGACGATCGCAAGTCCCATACTTTAACACTGGCTTATGATAGTCGTAGCACAAAGACAATCGTAACTCCCATACTTTAACACTGGTTTATGATAGTCATAGCACAAAGACGATCGCAAGTCCCATACTTTAACACTGGCTTATGATAGTCGTAGCACAAAGACAATTGTAACTCCCATACTTTAACACTGGCTTATGATAGTCGTAGCACAAAGACAATCGTAACTCCCATACTTTAAGACTGGCTTATGATAGTCGTAGCACAAAGACAATTGTAACTCCCATACTTTAACACTGGCTTATGATAGTCGTAGCACAAAGACGGTCCGCCCGCCATTCATGATGGAATGTTTCCAGAAGAACGATTTAAAGAAAACGTAGAACACAAGACCACCCAGACAGCTTGCACATCACACGTCAATAAGTCTATTAATTGAATCTGTACAAGGAAGACTGTACATGGCGTAAGTTCCATGACATTAGTTTGAAAACTAAATGTGAAGTGTTGATTGCAAACATACAGCTACAAAATGAAAGGCAAGGATTTAGTGGTGAAGCATTAAAAAAGTAAAGGCTAACAATATTCAAAATTCAATTCAAATGATATTTGATCACCACTCTCTTTAACAGATGAGTTTTCATAAAACGAGAATACATTGAATCTAGTGTCGTGACCAACTAACCGTTCCGTATCCCAAGTCCTTGACCTCGGTCAGTATTGTGTAAGGGGCATAACCCATTTCGCCCTTGTAGTTCCGCACCTTCCACCACTTCCGGCTACTGTCCACCACCTGCAGCAAACAGAAAACAATTTTTTGGTCAAATCTGTGAATTAAATGGGGACTGATGCCAGTAACTACTTATAGCAAACACACCAGTGGCCAACCTTACCAGAATTAATCTATTTGGAGTATGATTTTTCAGGTCATAGACTTGGGGTATATATATGACTGAAACAAACCTAATTCAACTTTTTTGGTTCACTCACTGGATTGTCTGGTCCAGCTTCAAATATCTACACCATAACTTATATCTGGAATATTGCTGAGTGCTCCATCAAAGAACAAGCAATGAGGGATACCAGGGGATGGTGGGAGTGGTGTTGTCCTAGGGGATACCAGGGAGTGATGTTGTCCTGAGGGATACCAGGGAGTGATGTTGTCCTGAGGGATACCAGGGGGTGGTGTTGTCCTGAGGGGAGGGTGTAACCATGGGATGGTGGGAGTGGTGTTGTCCTAGGGGATACCAGGGGGTGGTGGGAGTGGTGTTGTCCTGAGGGATACCAGGGGGTGGTGTTGTCCTGAGGGGAGGGTGTAACCATGGGATGGTGGGAGTGGTGTTGTCCTGAGGGGAGGGTGTAACCAGGGGGTGGTGGGAGTGGTGTTGTCCTGAGGGGAGGGTGTAACCAGGGGGTGGTGTTGTCCTGAGGGGAGGGTGTAACCAGGGGGTGGTGTTGTCCTGAGGGGAGGGTGTAACCAGGGGGTGGTGGGAGTGGTGTTGTCCTAGGGGATACCAGGGGGTGGTGTTGTCCTGAGGGATACCAGGGGGTGGTGTTGTCCTGAGGGGAGGGTGTAACCAGGGGGTGGTGGGAGTGGTGTTGTCCTGAGGGGAGGGTGTAACCAGGGGGTGGTGGGAGTGGTGTTGTCCTGAGGGGAGGGTGTAACCATGGGATGGTGGGAGTGGTGTTGTCCTAGGGGATACCAGGGGGTGGTGGGAGTGGTGTTGTCCTGAGGGGATACCAGGGGGTGGTGGGAATGGTGTTGTCCTGAGGGATACCAGGGGGTGGTGGGAGTGGTGTTGTCCTAGGGGATACCAGGGGGTGGTGGGAGTGGTGTTGTCCTGAGGGGATACCAGGGGGTGGTGGGAGTGGTGTTGTCCTAGGGGATACCAGGGGGTGGTGGGAGTGGTGTTGTCCTGAGGGGATACCAGGGGTTGGTGGGAGTGGTGTTGTCCTGAGGGGATACCAGGGGTTGGTGGGAGTGGTGTTGTCCTAGGGGATACCAGGGGGTGGTGGGAGTGGTGTTGTCCTGAGGGGATACCAGGGGTTGGTGGGAGTGGTGTTGTCCTAGGGGATACCAGGGGGTGGTGGGAGTGGTGTTGTCCTGAGGGGAGGGTGTAACCAGGGGGTGGTGGGAGTGGTGTTGTCCTGAGGGATACCAGGGGGTGGTGTTGTCCTGAGGGGATACCAGGGGTTGGTGGGAGTGGTGTTGTCCTGAGGGGATACCAGGGGGTGGTGGGAGTGGTGTTGTCCTAGGGGATACCAGGGGGTGGTGTTGTCCTGAGGGGATACCAGGGGGTGGTGGGGGTGGTGTTGTCCTGAGGGGATACCAGGGGTTGGTGGGAGTGGTGTTGTCCTAGGGGATACCAGGGGGTGGTGGGAGTGGTGTTGTCCTGAGGGGATACCAGGGGTTGGTGGGAGTGGTGTTGTCCTGAGGGGAGGGTGTAACCAGGGGGTGGTGGGAGTGGTGTTGTCCTGAGGGGAGGGTGTAACCAGGGGGTGGTGGGAGTGGTGTTGTCCTGAGGGGAGGGTGTAACCAGGGGGTGGTGGGAGTGGTGTTGTCCTAGGGGATACCAGGGGGTGGTGGGAGTGGTGTTGTCCTGAGGGGAGGGTGTAACCAGGGGGTGGTGGGAGTGGTGTTGTCCTGAGGGGAGGGTGTAACCAGGGGGTGGTGGGAGTGGTGTTGTCCTGAGGGATACCAGGGGGTGGTGTTGTCCTGAGGGGATACCAGGGGTTGGTGGGAGTGGTGTTGTCCTGAGGGGATACCAGGGGGTGGTGGGAGTGGTGTTGTCCTAGGGGATACCAGGGGGTGGTGGGAGTGGTGTTGTCCTGAGGGGATACCAGGGGTTGGTGGGAGTGGTGTTGTCCTAGGGGATACCAGGGGGTGGTGGGAGTGGTGTTGTCCTGAGGGGAGGGTGTAACCAGGGGGTGGTGGGAGTGGTGTTGTCCTGAGGGGAGGGTGTAACCAGGGGGTGGTGGGAGTGGTGTTGTCCTGAGGGATACCAGGGGGTGGTGTTGTCCTGAGGGGATACCAGGGGTTGGTGGGAGTGGTGTTGTCCTGAGGGGATACCAGGGGGTGGTGGGAGTGGTGTTGTCCTAGGGGATACCAGGGGGTGGTGGGAGTGGTGTTGTCCTGAGGGGAGGGTGTAACCAGGGGGTGGTGGGAGTGGTGTTGTCCTGAGGGATACCAGGGGGTGGTGTTGTCCTGAGGGGAGGGTGTAACCAGGGGTTGGTGGGAGTGGTGTTGTCCTAGGGGATACCAGGGGGTGGTGGGAGTGGTGTTGTCCTAGGGGATACCAGGGGGTGGTGGGAGTGATGTTGTCCTGAGGGGAGGGTGTAACCAGGGGGTGGTGTTGTCCTGAGGGGAGGGTGTAACCATGGGATGGTGGGAGTGGTGTTGTCCTAGGGGATACCAGGGGGTGGTGGGAGTGGTGTTGTCCTGAGGGATACCAGGGGGTGGTGGGAATGGTGTTGTCCTGAGGGATACCAGGGGGTGGTGGGAATGGTGTTGTCCTGAGGGATACCAGGGGATGTAACCAGGGGGTGGTGGGACACTCACCTGCAAGATGTCTCCTTTATTCACTGAGATTTCTTTTTGATTTTTGCCCTTTCTTTCATGAAGTGCTTCGTAAACTCTATAAACAAAAACATTTCAATTAATCGTCATATTTTCAAACTGATTAAAAACACATTTGCTTCAACATCTTCAAGCTGCATATTCTCCTCTGCATAAAAGCTTCCTTTTGGCCAAAGAAGATTTTGTTTTTTCTACACTGAAACACTACTCATGGCCAATAAAAACTAAATATATTAGTTTTGTTTCCAAGTAAAACTTTCCTTTTCCTTTTTTGGAGTAAATTAGCAGAATTATGAACACACATTTTTGTCAGTGTTTGCAAAACTACATAACATTAAAATCTAGTGGCCACAAGTGGCCCAGTTGTCAAAGTTGCACCCCTTGAGCAAGCCAGAAACCTATGATCATGGGTTCGAATCCTGCTCTGCCCTGATTATGTTTCTAGGTTTGTTGCCACCATAACCATGCTTGTGGGTTTCACCAAGTGGTAAACATCTGAGACCTGCATCACTTCAGGCTTTCCTCCCACATTACTCAAAATACTTATAGGCTATGGTGACTGTGGCTAGTCAAAAAAATATCCTAAATTTACCATATTTTTAGCTTCAGATCACCTGATCATATTTTTCCTCAGCAGCTTGGTAAAAAACAAGATATAAAGACACTACAGCCTTTTGAAAAAATTGTCATGCAGCAGGGCTGTGTGGGCTTTTTTTGTTTGTTGTTTAACGCAGCACTCAGCAATATTCCAGCTATATGACGGCTGGCTGTAAATAATCGAGTCTGGACCAGACAATCCAGTGATAAATATCACGAGCATCGATCCCCGCAATTGTGATCGATGACATGCATCAACCAAGTCAGCGAGTCTGACCACCCGATCCCGTTAGTCGCCTTTTACGACAAGCATAGTCGCCTTTTACGGCAAGCATGGGTTGCTGAAGACCTATTCTACCCCGGAGGGACACTTACTGATGACCACCCCGCCTCAGCTCATCCAGGTAGGCTGCGTTTTCCTCATCTCGTGACGATGTAGGAGACTGACGCCTCATTTCGGGACGGTTTCTAGAAATATCAGAACAATCACCACCGTCAAAATGTTACCTGAGAAATAAAATTATTTTCCTCCGTCGTCAAAAAGCAGATGTACATTACTGAAAGCACAACACTTAACAGGAATTTAACAGTAATAATGGAGTCGGCTCTACTTGACATTAAAATATTCAACAATAGTTATATATTACAATATGTTCGACTTGATAGCAGTGTTTAAACAGCCATTAAAGGCTGTTAGTTAGCCTGTCTGTGCAATGATATTTTAAATATAAATATTTACAAATATATGCAAATAATAATACTAATTATCTGCGAGAGATTTATAGATCAGGCTAAATATCCCCGTCAAAGTTTTAAACCACATGTTAGAGTTAACTAAAATAAACACTAAATATGAGTACCATCTTGCAGCAAACATGATAAAGTGTTAGTACATTTTTTTAGATCAAATCTTGATAAAAAAAACCCAAGTCGTTCCTGATTCACGGTTGTTGCTTGTTTCAGTATTGCAATGAAAAGAGACTGAAAACTTCTATATTGCGGGGTTCACACATTGTACCCGTTTGGAGAATCCAAACTGGGGCTTCGGTTTGACGTGTAAACGCTTTAACCAATGGGCTACTCCACCGCCCCTTAAGAAATATGAAAATATGAGACTACATTGTTCTCTTGATGGCAGTCACTTTATGGCTACAAACTGAAGCAAGCAACTGCAACAAATCAGGAAAGACAACTCTTGCAGGACCAGAGGTAGACAGCACAAGGAGAGGATTTAACATGGAGGAAAGGGACCATCTCAAAATAATTGTGTGAATATTCCCCCGTGTTGGTGGTGGGAGGAGAAAGGAACCAAACATGAGAAGAATTGGAACTGGGAAAATATCCAAGATGCAAAAACATATTATGTGGTTGAAAACGGCTTGGTAAAGAAAGGTCATGCATACCAAAAATACCAAAATACCAACGTCAAACTGTGCACTTTGAACAGTACCCTTCTGCTTTCCCCCTGCTTAAACAATTGCTAAAAGCTCATTAATATCAAATGAATAATTAATCTGTAAAAAAGAAGAATTTTCCACACAATGAAAAAAACCCCAGGTTTCTCAAATTTAAAAAGTAAAATCTCATTCTTTAGCAGCTACTAAACATTTCTTTTCAAAATGTTACCTAAACTACATCAACTAAACTATCAAGATCTTAATTGTCAAAAAGCATTAACGATTGATAAAGCTTGTTTCTAGGACACCCATATAGATAAAGGCAGCGCTGGGCTTCCGCAGACTACAAGCAGGGAAAGTCAAGCCAGGCACACTCAAGTAGATCCTCTGGACATATATCCAACCTCTCTTGGGGCTGTTCTACATATTCTGGGTACACTGCTGAAGTACTCTGAATAGCATGCCTTGGCGGACTCGGCGGCCGTGGGCTTGGTGGGCGCGGTGACGGGCGTGGTGGCTCAAATCTACGCTGATAATCATCCTCTTGGTAGGTAGGCTGTAAGAAGCAAATATTCAACATGAACAAAAAATGAATCTGAAAAAGCTCAATCAGATATATCTAAATCCTTAACTCAAATAGTGACTCTGGTTAAGTTTTTGTGACGCCTGTATTTCATAGACTTAATAAAGTCCACTTTTTGTAGTTGGTCACTAATCTTTATACACATCAATGGCAGAAATTGCTTAAAGAGGTATTTTTCTAAATTTTAATTCAAGAATTATCAAGGTTATCACATAACATTGTTAATCCAATTACTTCAACGTTACATGTCAAATTGGCTCTCTAATAAACTTTACTCAAACATTCCTGGAGTATCCACATTCCAACCAATCCTAACCTGAGAAGTATGTCCTTACTGATTCTTTAATTAGATACATTGTGTGTTAATGTCCATAGTGCACTCAGGATGACTGTGAGTTGATATTGCAGTTCTATGTGTGAGAGGATATGAGTGCTAGATGTTACCAGAGTGTGTGTTACCACAAGAACACAGGTTTACACAAAGTTACATGATTACATACTGGTATTAACAATGCTTTCATGAGATACACAGTGGATACAATATGTAACATTGTTAATACAGTGGCATATGACATAAAATGTTTATTCACTGGTATGTAGGGATACAGTGTGGAGAGATATATAATGCTGAACAAGATCTAGACTTTACCACAAGACCTATACTAGTTTTACAGGATCGCAATGTCAATTAAATCAGATCTTAGTTATTACTACTGCTAAACAAAGATCTGAGGACACCCCATTACAGGTCACGTCAGCAAGACTTTTCGCAAACTGTGACCAACCAATGAAATGACTAACAAGAAAATGATATTAGCCAGTCAAAAAGCAGCTTTCTAGAGCTTTAATGCACAAGTTTCAAAATGATGCCATTCCAAACTACGCTTTGAAAAATCTTGATTCTAAATTTGAAAACTGAACTGTCTAAAAGATGGCCGAGATTGTATGGCAGTACCTTCATCGGACTATAGAAAGTCTCTTCTGTTTTGAATGTTTATTCCACGGTGATTCTGACGGAATCAGTTTACAACCTTGAACTGTGATTTGGAATGCAATGTGTTAACCTTTCAGAGATTGCAGAAATCACATTCTGCCACTTTCCCGATCTGGTAACCAACTCTCTGATTTGTTGGTTGAAAGGTCGTTCAGACGTGACCCAAAATGGGATGTCCTCAGATCCTTGTTTAGCGGTAGCGAGAACTAAGATCTGATGTTAATGAGATTGACAGGATCAAGGATAAAGCATGCATGACTTAACACAGGTGTATTACACCAAAGGGGAAAGAGACTCCCTTTTCTACTGCCTGATACAGAAACAGCTATATATATTTGGACTAATGATATAATATTCTGTTACATAGCTGGATTCTTCAGCTTGCTGGGTTAAACCATACTTGCAATTCTAATGAACATTTGCAAAACAGTTTATCACTGAATAAAGCACAGAAAAGGTCTCAAAAGAAGTTCTTATAAAAACCAAAAAAACGTTTAATCAACATGTCCTTATTTGGAAAATCAATCAAGTTGAAAAAATATTTTAGTGGTACTAGGTCAAATGAGATTGTAATTTTAACAAATTGACATTGAAACAGTATATATCTGGTGGTCAATTAGGTCTGGTATATTAAAATCTATCTTGACTACACGCATGCAACTTTGAAATGAGAGCAAGGATATTTATATCAAGCATATAGTGAACAATAGGATTACCATGGGAGTCCACATAATGGTTTCACTAGTCACTTCAAACTAATATATTTACAAAATGTAAACGGATAAATTGAAGGGATTTCTAAGGACATACTACGGTAAAATTTTAAGAGCATGCAGACACATGGCAATCACTTTAAACAATTACCAACATGGCAATCACTTTAAACAATTACCAACATGGCAATCACTTTAAACAATTACCAACATGGCAATCACTTCAAACAATTACCAACATGGCAATCACTCTAAACAATTACCAACATGGCAATCACTTTAAACAATTACCAACATGGCAATCACTTTAAACATTACCAACATGGCAATCAATCTAAACAATTACCAACTTGGCAATCACTTTAAACAATTACCAACATGGCAATCACTTTAAACAATTACCAACATGGCAAACAAATTATAACAATGCAACTGCAGAACACAGTGAAAAAGAGGGATTAGTGTCTGGGTTTCTAAAAGGATTTCTTATTCTGATCCTCAGATTTTATTATATTCACCATTTTAAGAAATATTTTCAGCAATAATTTGAAAAAATTGTTATTTCAGGAAAATACAAAACATGTCTTTTAAAAAGAAAATGAAATGAAATTTGCAATCATTTTAAAAACCCACTGGATCATTTCACGAACTATTTTTGCTTCTATAATTTTACACGCACTTAACTTCAAGAGAATTTTATGTCCAAAAAGTTTATATTTTAAGGAAATCAATCAATGCTTGTACTTAATTTCTTATATTTCAAAGAAAACAAAATGTTTTGAAAAACATCAACACATTCATTAAAATATTATGTGAAATATCAAAATCATGAAATTAGTTGTAAATTCAACAAAACTAATGGTTTCATAACCTGAGCAGCCATTTCGTGAAATGCTCCGGAGAGGAAGGGTTAAATAATATTACCATTGGCCTAGTATCCGACTCATGCGTGTGGTTCATGATTTGGTTGTGGTGGGCAAGAACCGCTGCCTCTAATGGTACCTGAGGTGGAGGAGGAGGAGGAGAATCCTCGATCACACTCGGTGACGGTCGCCAGCCATCGTAGAACACGGGGTTAAACGGGGGCGTGTAGCCTCTCCATTCTTCTCTGGAAGAGTAGCAACAGAATAAATGTATAGAGATTATCAAACAAGCATGTGTGTCTTACTGATTTTACGAAACGAGTGTCAGAATTGTTGTATTTCCCGAGTGAGGGTAATACGTGAATTCTTACACAAAGTTTTGTAAAATCAGTATGACACACGAGTGAGTGTAATAATTTCTTTATTCTCCATTATTTCTTAATCCTTTTGGGCTCCCCTTTAGAAAAATGCAGTATCACCACCCATCCTAGAAAACCACCATTAGTTGATTGACGTCAACAATCTTAAGCTTTGACGTCATTCCTAGTGTGACGCCATGTAAATAACCGAGCCTGGACCAGACAATCCAGTGATTGACATGAGCATCAATCTACCTGATCGGGATATGATGCCATGCAATAACGAAGCCGGCCGGGTGTCACATCAATTGCAAATTCCACATTCAGCAACATTCCAGCTACATGCCGGCGGTCTGTAAATAACCAAGTCTGAACCAGACAATCCAATGATTGATATTGTAAACAACGATCCACACAACCAAGACACTGAGTCTGACCACTGTTTCCATTGCCTGTTACGACTAACAAACAACCACTAGCATAGGTTGCTGGAGACCTATTCTAATCCCCAGAGGGACCTGGTTGTTGTATCTAACCTGCTAGTTGTCCATTTGGGCCCCAACGCCTGCCATAGCTCGATCTCCTTGGACGTCAGACAGTTGAGCAACAGTTGTTTAGCTTCATGGTTGACAACAGGAGATATTGCCTGGTCGGCAAGATCCCGGTTGCCGTGGAACGGATCACGACTGGCTTCGTAGATCAGACTTAAAGGCGTAAACAGGAAGTGAACCAACTCTGGTGCATTGGGATCATGGATGTGCGCCTTTAACTTGGCCTGTAAAGTGAAGATAATATCTCATGACAGAAAGGAAGGTTGGTTGGTTGGTTTGTTGTTTAATGCCGCACTCAGCAATATTCCAGCTATATGACGGCGGTCTGTAAATAATCGAGTCTGGACCTGACAATCCAGTGATTGACATCATGAGCATCTATCCACGCAATTGGGATCAATGACATGCATCAACCAAGTCAGTGAGCCTGACCACCCGACCCCGTTAGTCGCCTTTTACGACAAGCATAGTTGCCTTTTATGGCAAGCATGGGTTGCTGAAGACCTATTCTACCCCGGGTCTTCACAGGTCAGAAAGGAAGGTAGTGAGGTTTGTTGTACCTATGTTATGGTTAACTCCCAAATCAAGGAGACCGGCCGCAGCAAATCTTGGATCGATAGTGAATGCAGAATACATTTCAGAAAGTGATCATAGCTCAATGATCATCTCAACTTTATGTTAACGTGTAGAAGTTACGACACAGTCAAATGGCCACAATCGTTTTGTGAAACTGGCCCAGGTCCTTGGGAGTCCTTGTGCTCATTGAACAAGAACTTAGTTCAGATAAATCTCACTGATGGCTCGAAAGAGGGTGTACATGTCAACTGCACCCTCAGTCAAGTCACTTGTAACTTAGCTATTACGTGCATCCCCCTTTTTCAAAGGGGATCAGCCCCTGGATCTTCGAACTAAAATGACATGATCTCTTACAAATTAACTGTGAAGTAGACGATGGAGGAAAAGATTCTTATTCATATTTCAAGCAAACTTGAATCCTGCTTTTTAGTACTAGCAGACTTGTCATGGTTTCCGAAAAATAGTGAGTGAGTGAGTGAGTGAGTTGGTTTTAACGCCGCTTTTAACAGTATTCCAGTTATATCGCGGCGTGTCAGCTTAATGTGGGAGGAAAGCCCAAACGATGCAGGTCTCAGACGTTTACCACTTCGGTGGAACCTACGAGCACGGGTATAGTGCTGACAAACATAATCGGAAAAATAAAAAAAGAGTGAATTAACTTACCAGCAGGTTGAAAGAAAACTTGAACTTCTGGAAAATATCGATAAAATCACTGGCAGGTGGGGGTCGGGCTCTGTGACTCAGCATGCCATCTGGAACAAAGTAGCACAATGTTCAAGCACCATACTCCCCACATACATCTATGTACTTTGGAAAATACTCAGGGCTCAAACTGTCCCCACAAAAGTTGAAAAAGAAGATATTTTATATTTGTATTTAGATATTTTGTCAAAGGTGATGCTCTCTGCATCTCAATATCTTCAAATGATAACCCTGAAGTTTCGAGTGAGTTGTGTTTAACATCGCTTTGAACAGTATCCAGTTACATCACAGCATTTCAGCTTAATGTGAGAGGAAAGCCCAGAAGTGATACCTGTAGGTTACCACTTTGGTGAAATGTAAGAGCATGTGTATGGTGATGACAAACCTAGAAACATAATCAGGGCAATAACTTAGAGAATAATGGGCTTCAAACATGGTACCCATGTAGAATATTGAACCTGGCTCCTTGGAATGACAAGCCAATAATTTAAACTCTTGGCTAAATGTTCAGCTGGCTGACTGAAGCTTGTTCAATGCTGCCTCAAGACAGAGGCAATCTGTGTGACAAAAGCCGTTGTGCATTGTGACAACCTTGTTAAGGATAACACTGTGTGGAGCTTGCTCTTGTTAAGGATAACAGTGTACGGAGCTTGCTCTTGTTAAGGATAACAGTGTGTGGAGCTTGCTCTTTTTAAGGATAACACTGTGTGGAGCTTATTCTTGTTAAAGATAACACTGTGTGGAGCTTGGGGAAATATGTGTGCGCATAAAACGTTGATGTCCTAATTGGTGGTCATCAGTGAATAACAAAAAAGATAAATTTTGTGTTGACAAAATATATTGTTTCTTAAACTGTAACAAATAATAGAAACATTGACCACACAGCAAATACTTCCCTGCACAACTTAACTTTCAGTTTTAAGTGAGTATGCACAATCTGTTTACATCTCCATAGAAACATGCTCACATTCATGCACAACATTATTTGGGGTTTTGTTTCAAATTAATAAATGAAATAGGACCATGATCAATAAAAATAAAACATTCAAAATACGAAATGAAATAAATTTTCCATGCAAATGTCTAACTATTCACATTCCACACATAAAACCAGTGGAAGGGACATCCAGGTTACAATACAAACCCTGTTTTCGGTCTACATTTCCAGTGAAGCATTAATGTGCATCATAAGTAATGATGTAAGTAATAGTGTTATTGAAATACTGAAAACGAAGTAATGTATCATACGTTGTATTATTAAAAGACCAAACGTAAATTCAGGGCCCTTATACGACTATACCCCGATACTATTACACAGATTTAGGATCTTCGTAAAGTTGAGAATGCTTTGTGTGTGAGTGAATATGGTAATGCAGCTTTTGCAGTATTCCAGCAATATCACGGCGGGGGACACCAGAAATGAGCTTCACACATTGTACCCATGTCAGAATCGAACCCAGGTCTTCGGCGTGACTAGCGAACGCTTTAACCACTAGGCTACTTGCCATGTTTAAATGCAAATACTTCATTAGATTTTTTTCAAATGAGCGCACCACAGAGGTAGACATCCTAATCCATACAATTTTCAAATCTCTTTTGAAAAATAATGCTCATTTTGAAATCAATATTTGAAAAAGAAAAGATTTCTTCAACCACGAGTATCACTGAATGTGACATTATTGACCAGTGGCAGCTCACCTCCACTCTGTCTCTTTCGTGCCCGGTTGCCTCGCTCTCGTTTCCTACGTTCTAACTCCTTGTATGCTTCAGCTGCCTGCTGTAGGCGCGCCACAAACCGCTCGATGTCATCAAAACAGTGATTCAGCAATTGCTGAAAGAGGGAAACAGTCAGTACACTTGCTGGTTATTATATACAACAAAGAAAAAAACATTTAGTCAAAATCAAACAACAAACAAAATTACCAAAAGTTTAAACTGGTTGTCACCAGTGGGAAAGTGGGAAAGCAGGAAATAGCCGCCTGTCTGTTAGATTCTGAAATGTTCCTTGCCCGACTGGCAGCAGAAATCATAACGGTGATTTATTTACGCACAGTTCTTCCCCTTTCTGTACATTTTATTGACCATCAAAACATAAAAATAAAATATCCTTACTGAATCGATGTTGCGAAGTTACGAGCTCTGAGTTACCTCTCTTCAAAATATTTGGCTTATGATTTGCAATTTGAATCAAATGTTTTGGAAAATAAGCTGTTGCTCATTCAAGATAGTGAAATTTGAAGCTGGCTAATTATGTTAAAGGCTGGCTAACCAACCAGGGTTCCGTTCCTTAAAGCTATCTTAGCGCTAAGATGTTCATAAGTCCTATACTTTAACAAAGGTTTACGATTATCGTAGCGCTAAGATCACTTTGAGGGAACGGGCCCCTGGCCAGAAATATTTTGTGACTATTTCACAATCTGGTTGTCACCAGTAGCAGCGTGTCACCAACGAGCTGCACACATTTTACCTACTTGTTGAATCAAATCTGTGTGTTTGTTGTGATGAGCGAATACTTAAGAAGTCTATTCCACTGACGCTCGTGCTATTGAGGGGCAGTAAGGTAGGCTGGTAGTTAAAGTGTTCGCTTGTCAAGCCAAAGGCCTGGGTTTTATTCCACATATTGGTAAAATGAGAAGCCCCTCCATACCTTTGTCATTGTTACAGTGCCACACTGAAGACACATCATGGGGAGTGAGTGAGTGAGTGAGTTGGGTTTAACGCCGCTTTTAACAGTATTCCAGTTACATCGCGGCATGTCAGCTTGATGTGGGAGGAAAGCCTGAAGTGATGCAGGTCTCAGACGTTTACCACTTCGGTGAAACCCACGAGCACGGGTATGGTGCTGTCAAACCTAGAAACATAAGTGGGGTGAACCAGGATTCGAACCCACAATCATAGGTTTCTGGCGTGCTCAAGGGATGCAACTCTGCACAGCGAAATGTGGCACCTTAGACGACCCCGTGCCCCCACATCATGGAGAGAGAGTCCTAGTCTCATACAGTTACTTCATAGAGTTGGGTACAAGACTCCACTCGAGTATATATACTTCTCAAAAGAGCAAGCGAGTGAGTATGGTTTTACGTAGCTTTTATCAATATTCCAGCAATATCATGGCGGGGGACACCAGAAATGGGCTTCACACATTGTACCCGGGAATCGAACCTGGGTGTTCAGCGTGACGGGCGGACACTTTAACCATGCTATTGAAGAATCAGAACTGATCTACCCTCCTTACCACATCTTTCTCTAGGACTTCATTCTGTCCACCATCTTGTATGAATGGAATGTGGTTGCCAGGGCGCCGGGGGCCAGAGGGACCAGCATACTGCTCTGAAAGAATAGATCACATGTAAAATAAAACTTCAAATTTATATTGTCCTTTACATCCATTCTTCCAAACAAATGGACCTAAGGTCACACTTTCTTAATTTTATGTTTCACTGATTTATTGCAGCTCTCCACACTAGGTCGGTCAAAATAAAACAAAATATAAATGGCTATGTCAATCATTTATATATATGAAAGTCATTCAGCCATGGAGTCAAAAATGCAGGTGGATTTTTGAATCACTGATAGTGATGGAGACAGAGAATTTAATATTGTACAAGATGCCCTTTACTACAGTTGGGAAACATAAAATAAAAAATATTTTTAGGTTTAATATCTATTTTTCCCCCAGCTGCTTTTCAGAAAGGGTGGCAGGCCCGTGAAACAAAAAATAAAATATGTGTGGCCTAATCTTAAAGAGCATGGAATCAGATAGGTTGTCATTTTTCAACGCATGCATTCTGTTTGCATGTCAAGAAACACCTATTTTTCACTTCTTATATCCACTATTTGGTTGCTCAAAGCTCAATAATCTACATGGTAACTGAGCTGGTCAGTGACTGGTAATAAATTCTATAACACTCCTGAACAATACAGAGTATAATTTCCTACAACAATGTAACAGTCATGCATTGTATCATTGCTCTAACACAGTAAGTCCCAGGCCAAATACATACATATACACACCACTGTAAACATTGTACACACAGATAAACAAAGTTAATCATAACAACAAATCTCCCATTTGTACTAATCCCCTTCTCCTAAGGCCTCGCACTGAAGGCTGACCAAGGCTCTGCTCACTACAATGTAGATGGAGCATAGTTTGTAAGGAGGCTGTCAACTTGGCAGGAGTACAAGATCACCAGTGGGTCATGATCAATCTCGGTGTAGTGAGGGCGGGGCTGGTTACTTTGTCTAGCTGACATGGTGAAAGTAAGGCCTTGTGTGATGTGACCACACCCATATTTATCCATGTCACGATTTCAAATTGTGTAACAAACTCACAGCAGATGTTATACTCAGGCTTTAAGAAAACATTTTTTTGGTTAAAAAATATTGGTAAAATATTATATAAGTGTATGTAATACCAGATAAAGGAAAGCCATTCCTACAGTCTTGCTTCTACTTACATGTCAAACTAACAACAATATATATCTTGTCCTGTATGAATCAGCTCTTAAGTACTTATCACATGGTTTAAGATCACCAGCCAACAATGGATGATTCTGTATACATGTACTATGTATGAGAAAAAGTATTTACAAAAAAATAATTTGGAATCAATATTTATAGACAAAAAAACGAAGGAACAAAAGTTTGAAATATATTTAGGACTTATTAGGACTATACATTAAGGTAAAAACAACACATGCCGGTTCAAAGTTCTTTTTTAACATAATAATTGTACAGACACCTAGAATATTAGGATTAATATCGTATCAAGATGCAAATTTCATTGAGCACCCACATCTAGATAATTACACGGTAGACAAATATACATTCGGGTGGGGCGGGCAACAAAACAGGCAGTCTGTCAACACCACAAGGGCAGAGTGACATTGCCTCAGCTTCAGTTGCTGTTTACATGGACATGGACGTTGTGACGTGCATCTTGAGTGAGTTAGTGAGTGAGTTTTAACAGTATTCCAGTTATATCACTGCATGTCAGCTTAATGAGGGAGGGAAGCCCGAAACCAACAAGCACGGGTATGGTGCTGACAAACCTCGAAACATAATTGGGATGAACCGGGATTCGAACCACAATCATAGGTTTCTGGCGTGCCCAATCGACGCAAATCTGCACAGTGAATCGCGGCGCCTTAGACGCCCGTGCCACCCGTGCCCCCCTGTTACACATGATATAATAGAGAACTTACCGACGTTACTCCTCATGCCGTACATTCCTGGGGGTTCTGGGGGGCGCTGTGATGGTGGTGGGGGAATCCTTTGGCTGCAAAGAAATACATAGATTATTCCAGATCATTTCAATGTGGTCCAACTCCTCTTTTCAAGGCAACATTCCACAGCCCTACTGAAGACCAAAGCAATCAGAAAAACAATGTCTGTATTGTTTGTATTTTGTTTAACTTCACCACACTGTTCCAGCTACAATCGAGTCTGGATCAGACAATCCAGTGATTGCCATCATGAGTATCGATCCACATAAATGATAGATGACATGCTGTCAACCAAGTCAGCGAGCCTGGCCACCTGATCCATTAGTCACCTCTTCCATTAAGCACAGGTTGCTGGGGGACCTATATTCTTACGCAGGATCCTCACGGGTTTCATACAATAAAATGATCAAATACCTTGAAAAATGATAATTTGTATCCTTTTCAACATTTTCCGTGTGATTAGCCTTATCACTATGGCACAATGAAGTTTGGTGTACCAATTTAACATATATTCAACTATTTCATTCTTTGGTTGGCCTGTATATAAGGTCATATTATCATGGAAGACTTGGTTGTCTTATCTTGGTTGCTGTTACACATACATATACCACCCTCGTGACAAACGTTAAGAACTAGCATATTGTCCGAGAAATCTACTGCCCAAGATGGAGGCCTTCCGCACTGTGACTTGGCTTGTGTTGTGTACTCCACGTAAGGCCCGATATAACCACATCTTTCCCAGCTATTGTAGAAGCAACAAGGTACAAACTATCCTTCCACCTCACAGGACAATCAAACATACATTTCAAGCCAAACAATCACAAAACATCCTCCATCTCTGAAAACACATTCCTCCGTCATTGTTCTCTACATCCTTGACAAACCTTAAGATGAAAACAAACATCAACAGAAAAATGAAAAAAACCAACCACACACTAACGTCATTATCAGCTCTGAAATAACTGACCTGCACTGTATGTCCTTCAGGCCTACACAGAACTAAGTAAAATCCCCTGGCAACCAGCTGAGACATCTATAATCTTCTGAACCCACTGCACAACATGGCTACCATGACCGATGGCTCATTAAGAAGTGTTGACTATGCTAATCAGACTCGGTGTACCAACCTCACACTTGCCTTGTGAAACGACAACGCTTTACATTAACAAAAGTCTGACAAGTTGATATCTGGTGTAAATAGCTCGCCGTCATGTCAATATTAGCATTAACCGTTACATGGCTGTGTACCACGATGGTGGATATGAGCGTATATTGCAGGGTGCTGTGACATGCACTGAGCAGCATCGCTAGTGGATGTGACAGTGGGTGGCGCTTCCACAAACACTCAACACACGAGGCAGTCACAGCAACCTCTGTGGTAACTACCTGTTGTTGAAACGGGTACTCCTGGAAACACTGTAGAGCATGTATTGGGTGCCCAGATTGTATCATTGGTTCGTTGTGTAACGTCACACTTAGCAGTAATTGAATTATGACAGTGACCTGTAAGTAATTGAGTCTGGATCACACAATCCAGTGATTGATATGTGCAACATCATGCAATGAACAAAGTCACTCAGCCGGACCACCTTCCATGTACCCACCCGAAGGCAAGCTTAGATCTACCCCACCCCTAATACCCACAACTGTTAGACCGACAGTGAAAACATGTACCCATCCCAGAGCATGCTTAGCTTCACCACCCCACACTCACAACCCTGAGACAGAAATGAGGCTGACATGTACTCGCCCTTGGCCAAGCTTAGATCCACCACCCCACACTCACAACCCTGAGACAGAAATAAGGCTGACATGTACTCGCCCTTGGCCAAGCTTAGATCCACCACCCCACACTCACAACCCTGAGACAGAAATGAGGCTGACATGTACTCGCCCTTGGCCAAGCTTAGATCCACCACCCCACACTCACAACCTTGAGACAGAAATGAGGCTGACATGTACTCGCCCTTGGCCAAGCTTAGATCCACCACCCCACACTCACAACCATGATACAGAAATGAGGCTGACATGTACTCACCCTTGGCCAAGCTTAGATCCACCACCCCACACTCACAACCCTGAGACAGAAATGAGGCTGACATGTACTCGCCCTTGGCCAAGCTTAGATCCACCACCCCACACTCACAACCCTGAGACAGAAATGAGGCTGACATGTACTCGCCCTTGGCCAAGCTTAGATGCACCACCCCACACTCACAACCATGATACAGAAATGAGGCTGACATGTACTCGCCCTTGGCCAAGCTTAGATCCACCACCCCACACCCACAACCATGATACAGAAATGAGGCTGACATGTACTCGCCCTTGGCCAAGCTTAGATCCACCACCCCACACTCACAACCCTGAGACAGAAATGAGGCTGACATGTACTCGCCCTTGGCCAAGCTTAGATCCACCACCCCACACTCACAACCCTGAGACAGAAATGAGGCTGACATGTACTCGCCCTTGGCCAAGCTTAGATGCACCACCCCACACTCACAACCCTGAGACAGAAATGAGGCTGACATGTACTCGCCCTTGGCCAAGCTTAGATCCACCACCCCACACTCACAACCCTGAGACAGAAATGAGGCTGACATGTACTCGCCCTTGGCCAAGCTTAGATCCACCACCCCACACTCACAACCCTGAGACAGAAATGAGGCTGACATGTACTCGCCCTTGGCCAAGCTTAGATCCACCACCCCACACTCACAACCCTGAGACAGAAATGAGGCTGACATGTACTCGCCCTTGGCCAAGCTTAGATCCACCACCCCACACTCACAACCCTGAGACGGAAATGAGGCTGACATGTACTCGCCCTTGGCCAAGCTTAGATCCACCACCCCACACCCACAACCATGATACAGAAATGAGGCTGACAACATGCACTCACCTTTGGCCAAGCTTAGATCCACCTCCTCTGGCTGCTAATATTTCATCTACAATCTCTTGAGACTGAAAATAATCAACAACATTTATTAGCATAGTCTGTGGTTCATTTCCACCATTAGTTTATCCTTCTACATATATGCACGTAGCACTTTTATTTGATAGGGATAAAAATCTGTATACTGCACTTGACCAAGATGTTTAGTCCATGACAGCCTTCGATATTGACCTAGTCCGCTAGCCCGTGACTACTAAATTGTGCTGAGGATAAGTAAAAATCCAAAGATGGAAGTCGTCATTGACCAGTAGCATTTGAGGGCTATGAATCTGAAC